GAAGGTGATCATTTAATTTCTAAGAGATACACCATTTTCAAATTATTAATAGCTGGGTTTTGTGGTTACATTGCAAGACTGTTACAAGATGTTTAGTTATACCTTCTGTGTCCACAGTGTGTACAGGTCACTGCTCAAACTACCAGTTCAAGTGTGATGACGGTTGCTGTATTGACATCACCTACGCCTGTGATGGGAAGCAACACTGTCCAGACCGCTCCGATGAAGACTTCTGCCCAAACTGTAAGAAACTCTTTGTCTCTCGCAGTATTTTATTAACTCCTGCATTATCTGGATCAGTTAAAGGAATGCAATAATGAAGGACCTCCCCACCATTTATTTGTTTTTCTGTGATTTCTTTAGTTGACAGCAGCAGGAAGTCAGTGACCCACCCTGCTGATCAGTCAAGCCCTCATCGGCCTGTAGCCCAGACCGAGGAGGCTGATGATGGTCCCATGCTCCAGACTGGGCCCAGAAAGACCATAGAGAACACCATACCACCTCAAGACAGGAGCAAGGCCACCCCTCCACAAAGTCCCAGTCAGCAGGAGGCTCCAGTCAGTCAAGGTAAGATTGCGTTTACGTTTGAAGTGCTTTATGCACACTCAAATTGTGTAACATCTCTTGCTTTATCTCTCTTTGGCCATACAACAACGATGTAATTTGAACTTAAAGGGCATCTGTAACTGCACCAAAACACGAGAAATTGTAGCTCCTCGGTGTGGTGTGATACAAACTATTGTGGTCTTTCCAAACACATGGTTGGATGGGAATCCACAAACATTTATTTTACTTTAGCTGTACCCGTTCAAATGTTCGCTTCACAATATGATCCACCATTGTGGTGTAATTAGTGCAGTATCCCTTTGTATGGAGGCAGATAGGGTTTTTAGTGTGTATCTGGACATAGGAGCAGATGGAGCCCCTGTAGGCAGCCATTGAGTCATAGCACTGCGCTCAAAATGCTGGCAAAGCCACAGGGCCACTCTGCATTCCCTGGGAAAGCAGCCCTTTGCCTGCATCCCCTCTGAGTGCTGGAACAAAGCGCCTCTGTCCCCTCTGCCATCTGATCCCTGAATCAGGCTGACCAAAAGTGCTTCTTCCTGCATTGGTATTTTACCGCAGGTATTATGTGGGTGAGGTGCATTCTCAGGAGTCTTTTCTTCATTTTACGGATGCTCAGTCTAATTACTACATTATTATCTTATTGTGTTGGAGAGAGAGCACATACATCAAGTGAAATAGTAAACAGCATCCAGCTCACATGGAGCATTAAGCATTAGCATTTATTTTAAGTTTCTGGCCACCTGCCAAATGTATGCCCAATATTCACTCTCCTTTAGCTCTGTTTTGAACTCGTGAGTAAAAGGTTTTTGGCTCGCGAGCTAAAAGAAGCTAACATGTCCCATAGAGCTGAGAGAGCTGCGGAGTTCGTGATAATTCTCTTTGGGTTTGTCATTAGTGACCGCTTTCACCTTACATGTAGACATATCTTCCATTGTCAATATTACAATTAATTTTTCAGATTTTAAATAGAAATTTTGACTAATTAATAAATGATTAAGTCTATAAAAAATCTAACAATTGAGGAATGCCCATCACATTTATCCAGAGCCCAAGGCGACGTCTTCAGATTGCTTGTTTTAACACAAAGCTTGTGCAGTGCAGCAGTTAATCCTCACATCTGAGCAGCTGGATGATAATGAACTGCTTAAAAAAAAAGTAGTTGTCAATTTTTAGTAGAATTTCTCAGGTTCAACTAATATATAAGATCAATCAACTATTCGATTCAAAAAACTTACACGCAAGAAGATAAAGGTGAGACTGACTGGGAAATTGCCCGCCTAAAGACACAAAAACAGACACAAGGTTTAAATTACTTTAATATAAATGGCTCATTAGAATGCTTATGACCTGAGTTAAAGGACATCGTATATCCGTTAATATTCCAGACATATGCTCCAAATGCTTTGATGAGAAGAGTAGTTCACTTCACTGTTTATGAGAATGGCAAGAATTCTGGAAGAATGTTATCCAGTGTCTGTATGAGATTATGAATAGAAAGTTCCTTAAAATGCCAAACTGCATGTGCTTGGTATATATCCCGAGGGCTTTGTTTGAACATCAAAATAGACAAAATTTCTGGATTTTTGACTGCTTCAAGTCAGGAGTGTGACAGCCCTCTTTTGGAAAAGTATGAAGGCCCCATCATTAAGAATGTGAACAGAAGAACTCGCAGCTTGTATTGGACTGGAAAGACTAACTTACATTGCTAAAGAAAAGCAGGAGGAATTTACTCAAATTTGAAAACCATACATCAACGATTGTAGGAGGACACATATTGGGTAAAAGGAAAGAGTAGACAATAAGTAGATATGCAAGATGTGCATGGTAGTGATATGTGAGAAATCTGCGCCCTGTGTTGTTTGTGGGGTTAGTGTTGTTAGATGTTGTTTTGAACTGAGGTTGTGGATGTTCAAACACAAAATACAATAAAAAACAAATCGTTTCAGTCCCTCCATGTAAGGATCTCTTAATATATGTGTATTAATAATATAATTAATATGTGTAACATCAAATTGTCAAAAGTGAATAAGAAGTTAATTTGTCTGACTCTTCCTCTGTCTCTCTGTAGATCCATGTGCTGCAGCTCCAGTTGTAGGACCCTGTAAAGGCACCTTCCCACGCTGGTACTATGACCAAAATGCGGGAGAATGCAAACACTTCCTGTATGGCGGTTGCCAGGGCAACCATAACAACTTCCTCCAGGAATCTGACTGTGTCAGTGAATGTATACAAAAAAGTGAGAATCTACTTCTTGTCCATATATTTTTTTTACCTAATTTTGTAACTGCAACAACTTAAAATTACTATAATTTCATGGAAATATATTTTTAGGTCCAGCTTTCAAACCAGCAACTGTGGCTCCCCCGATCACCAAACAAACTGAGATAGGTAAAGCTAAAGGACATTTCAGTAAAACTTTATTGACATACTAGTAACTAAATGTATCCAAATATATAATGTATTTGTATTTGTCTTAAAGCTGCCCCTAAAGCTGAGACTGACGTCCCTGTCTCCAAACCATTTCCAGTAATGGGAGGGCATCCAGGACCAGAGTCAGGTGAGGCCCAACATGATGGTTTTTGGTTTATATGATTTTTGTCACTCCTTCTTTGTTGTGTCATTTTCTGCTGTACTAATGTCCTATATGGCCTCTGTTTCCTCCTGCAGGTGCAATCCTTCCCCTGGCCCTCGGCCTCATCATCACTGCTCTGCTGCTGCTCATGATCGGCTGTCGTCTCAGACTTGTCCGTCACAAGATGAAGAAAGCCCGACCCCTAACCACAGAGGAGTCAGATTACCTCATCAACGGCATGTACCTGTAGCCAATCAGACAGAGGCAGCAAATACAAGAGCGCCGAGATCAGAGAGAGAGGTGTCGTCACCAGAGCCTGAGATAGGACTTTTTGAATATCCATTCTGTTTCTAGCTGCATGATGTCTCTAATTTATCCTCACATCAGTTTGGAAACATCCCAGCTCTCTACTCTCTCTCATGAACGTTTCTGAACACCCCCACAATGAACACCTCTGACTGGAAAATCTGCTGCTGACACATATTCAGATGCTTGTGATTTCATATTTATGTTGTCTTAGGAAAGTCTGATTGTGAATCGACGATGAGAGTCAACATTCCCAGTTCAACACTGATATACAGCTGTCTATAGTTCCCCAATGACTTCTGGGATACGTGCAGTACAAGAGGCTATTTTGTCCCTGTTATTAAAAACTAATTTTATTCCTAAAATGCTACTTTCTTTGACATCAAATTTTATTTTTACTTGAGATGTATTTCCCAGACTAGTGCAGCACACAGATTTGCTGTATTTCTGCCACTGGGTGACACTAATGCACCATTTGTGCTGTAGATTTTACCTAAGTTAACTTACCTAAAGGGCAGAAATGTAACACACTGGAGTGCCTGTTAGTGCACTTTTTTTGACTTATTAGGAATCAACAACTTATTCTTAAAGTGTCTCACAATCATATAAAGCCATAGCAAGTTGTATTCCTGTCTTAAGTTTGTTGCGTTTTTCTTTACTAATCAAACTTATGTGGAGTATGTACTATATTTGCATTGGTGTATTCCCTTAAAGTGCTGTCTTTCGTGTGAGATATTAAAATTTATATCAAAAACACAGGTGTGATCTATTGACAAAGTAACGTACATAATTGCAATACATGATATATATATATATAGAGAGAGAGAGAGAGAGAGATATTACACATACACACACACACACACACACACACACACACACTACCGGGCTTTTATTTGCTTAAATCAGTGATCTCTCCCTGCCTATATTTGGGACAGGCAATTACTTCCTTTACCATGCCGGTAAATCTGAATGAATTATAATGTGGTGCTCATTGTTTCCATAAAGTGAACTAAATGATTTAATTGTGGATGATCTAACATGTCCATATTGACAAAAGTTTAAACATTTATATTGGTATGTGCAAGCTAAGCAGTTTAGAACCAGTCCCAGAGGGCTTTAGGTGGTTTTATACATCCAGAACTTTAATAACCACACCAGGCTTCTAAGTGAGACCTGTTTATTTGTCAAAACATGCAGCCACACCAGGCCAGTAAAAGGGAAAGGTGTCTAATTGGGACTAGGCTTTTAATTTAAGTTTTATGGTATATATTGTTTTTTTCAAATGTTGGAGTTATAGAAGTTGTACACTCCACAGTTACACACCAATTATGTTCACATTCAAAGCTGAGTTTTTTTAGTCACCATCTTAAATTTTAATATTTAAGATGGTGACCAAAAAGTTTTGTGAGTTGTGCTTAAAGATTTAGGACTCCTGACCTCAGTATTTCTAATACTTGCATATATATATATATATATTTCTATATTACTTTATATTTATTTATTTATTACACACTAGGTTGCCGGCACAAAAAATAATCAATAACAAAAGGCAGACAAAAACATAAGCATCTCTTTATTTTCATATGCCATTCCAGAGACTGAAAGCCAAATATCATCCATCACTTCGATCACTCACATTAAAATGTGCTTTTTTAATTTCATGTGTTTTTTTTCCTCAAGAAAACAGACATTCATTTGCTTTATATTGTTGGAGTTTATTTTGGCAAAGCAGTGAATATCCCATTTAGTATCAGTCACCAGGAGAGCCTGCGCAAATTGTTAATGGAAATCCAGCAGCAGCAAGCAACACATCACCAGGTGAAAAGCACAGCCCTGCATGTGCACGTGTGTCGGTGTTATAAGTGCTCCGATCTCCTTGGAGTATGTTAGTAGTAAGAGCCCAATGAATTGCTTACTCTATGTGTAGAATGACTTTAGTGCTGCACATAAAACAGGATGTGTGGGTTATATCAGCCATTGTGTTGCCTGTGTGTGCTCCTAATACTGCTGGCAGGGGAGAAAAGCTTTAGGTTAGCAGAGAAGTCTACAGTTAGATGATACACACACACACACACACACACACACACACACACACACTTGAATTATCTAAAAGTTTCAGGTTTTCCCCCATCGTTGTCCGGTGTTCCTCCTACATTCAGCTTCGATGCTGCTGAAATGTAATACTGTAAAAATTGCTGATTGCAATGATAGAACCACAAAAAAAACCTAAAATCCAGCAGTTGAAAAGAAAACACAACCAAAAAGATGCAGGCCTGAAAAGAAAAACAAAAAGCCCTCTCCAAAATTTCTGTGCTGAGCTTCAAGCAGTCTTTTTTCCCAGCCACTCTGGGTCATCATCAATGTGATACTCCAGTCCATCGTTAGACTTAAACAAAAAAAAGCATATTTTGTTATGCTTTAAACCAAAATTTCATGGGCTGTCTGACCCCATCCAAGTTTTCTCCAGGTTCAAACTTAAAGGTGAACTATGGACTGTATTCCACTTCAAAGTTCATCCCTGTGAGAAACAGAAGTCAAATGTTAGAAAAGGCAGAATAAAGAAGAGTGACATGCAAGAAACACACAACCATCCTCCAGTCAAGCAAACACAAAGTCAAGAGTTAGAATCACATGCAAAATGTTAACATACTTCACAGTAAAATAAAACAGTTATTGGTTTTTGTCTACATCTCACAGAGTAGAAGATAAAACAGAATAGTCAAGGACTTGGGTTTTAATGTCTTATGAGCATCCAAATTGACAAAGTAGTCATGCTCTTGAAAACCAAGCATATGCCTTCACACTGCTGCTATTTCAGTTTCTTTTGTGTTTGGGTTCAAAGACAAATATGACTTCAAATTTTATTAGTCAGGCAGGTTTTCATTGAACCAATTTGGAACTATGGGGTTAAAAAAAGATGAAGGAAACGTGCAGCTAGTTGGTATGGTATGGAAGAAGCAAAAAATGTCAAACAAGCAGCAAAATGCAGCCCCTTGTGATCCATTGCCTGCTCCAAGCCACACCATTTCACCTTTGCCACTGTGAGAAGGAGAGAGGGGGAGGAGGGGGAGAAGGAAGTCACTTCCACCTGGACCACTGCTTGTCTCTGTCTGTTAAAGGCACATAAATCACCCCCATCAAGGGCTTCATTTTGGTGCTGCCGTCCTCCATTTTGTCGTACTGCTCCAGCATTTGATTTCCTCCCGCCGGGCCAACAGGAAGAATCAGCCGCCCCCCGGGCTTCAACTGGTCCAGAAGCTAGGAGAGAGTCAATATCATGGTGACACAAAGGACCAAACAAACCTGCATTACATTTTTCATGTTGATATTCAATCCTTGTTTTGAAGTGAATTTGAACAATGTGACTTTGATCATCAGCTCTTAAAGTGTTTAGAGGAACTCACAGCTTGGGGGACAGTAGGTGCTGCTGCGCCAACATGAATGGCATCATAAGGCGCTTCCTCAGAATGGCCCATTCGCCCGTCTCCCACTGAAACACATACACACAGTGTTTCTCCATATTGTAAATTTAATATTGTTATTTCTATCTCCTTTTATATACAACATTTATTGCATGTCTGTCTATCTTGGAAGAGGGATCCCTCACATGCTCCTTTTCGAGGTTTCTTCCTTTTTTATTTGTTAGCAGGGTTTTTTCTTTATCCATATCAAGGGTCTAAAGCAAGCTGTAAGTTGTACTAATGGTAAAATTTTAGCTATATAAATTTGTGGTATACACACAGTCAATTATTTATATAAACACTGCTGTGCGATCAACTCTTCTTTAAGGTTGTCTCTGACTCTGCTTTTCCCACACCTTTTCACTCTACAGAAATGTCCAGTATGTGTAGCAGTATCGAGCAAATGTTTAATACTTTTAACAAAATTAATGACTGAAAATGTCTTTTTTGTTGTAAATTGAGACAGACGATCACAAAGGAAACACACTGGACCTAAAGTAAACAGCTATGGTTCCCCACCCACACTAACCGTCTGTTAGTGTCTATATAATAATCCTTTTTTTATTTTTTTTAAATCGCCTAGTTTTATCAGCACTACCCCACTCTAGTAGAGCTGGTAAAAGTAGGTGCTCACTGCTCAATTATTTAGCACTGCCCTGCCCTGTCTACTCAGCTACTGTTTGCTTAGCTCCTAAAGAGAGGACAGTGAGGACTAACGAGCATTACCACATTTTAAAATAACAGACAGCTGAAATTTCTGCTATTATTCCAAAAAATTTGACAATAGAAGACAATGACATCTTACCTATAAGCTTGACTCTGCCTGATGTTATCAAACTGGGGTCATCTTTCTTCACATTGGTTATAGAATCGTCTACCAGCTCTTTGATGTGATCAATTCCTATAACTTTTCCTTTAGGACCTACCTGTAAAGCACAGATGGAGGGATGGTGCTCAATTCATACAAGAATATCACAACATTGAACATGTTTTTATCTCATTTTATGTTGATTGGTTGACAAACTAATTGTAAAAAAAAAAAATCAGTCTAATCAATCAGAATGTCACCAGAGAGAAATTGTATGTGTTTACCCGTTATGTGTGGCTCACCATTCGTGCGAAGCATGCGGACAGGATTCCACTGCCAGAGCCGACATCCAGAGCTTTGGCTCCCTCATACAGCTGGTCATGTAGAAGCTCCAGGGCGTAGGCGTGCTGGGAGAAGGGGACGCCAACAAGGAAACTGCATTACAACCCATCAGTCAGCATTCATATTGCATCTAGCACTGACTATGGCAAGGTAAATCCCACCAAGGACATCTGTGAGGTTCAGCTAGCTGGCCAACATCACTACTTGTTCCAGTTAGATGTCACTTCTGACAGCCTCATATTAAAAGCTAACATTCCAGCAATCAACACAAATACAAAAGCATTTTAGATTTGGTTAACCATTGTAATCCACTAAAATACACACACACACACACACACACACACACACACACACACACACACACACACACACACACACACACACACACACACACACACACACACACACACACACACACACACACACACACACACACACACACACACACACACACACACACACACACACACACCTATCTCACTATATAAATCACACACACACACCTATCTCACTATATAAATTTGATTAGGTTAGTTTTGGAATAAAAACAGGAAATTTGTATTCCTCTGCCTTCTTCCTTTATCTACTGCACAATTAATTGGGAGCAAGCTTTACAAAATGAATATCTCACAGTTGTGATTAACAGGATGCAGAAAAGTCTGAGAGTCTTTTAAAGTCATACCATGTGTGGGGCGCTGATAGTTGCTTGATAGCCTTTTGGTTAAAAGAGAGGGAATAGATTTGGTTAGTTCGTCCCCCTGATATCAGACTGTATTTGGATTTCAGACTGTGCTGCGATGCGTGAATGACTACATGAGCAAGACTTACCTATCGACTGTGGCGAGTCCATGTAAGGATTACACCTAGAGAAATGGGCTCGGTCTGTGGCCAGCATGACTTCATAGACCTTGTCGGATTTAATAATGCCATTTTCTGGGGAAGCAAAAGAGTTTGTGTCACTGTGTATTATGGAAACGTGAACAAGTACAAACACCAGGCAGGAATGCATTACATAATCTTGCAGCAGATGCAAATAGAAATACATGAAAGAAAAATAACACACAGGCAGGGACACAGTGAATTCAGGGATATTAGGCATTACACAATTACTGGTGCATTTGGGGTGTGACATACATGTTGAGAACCATCATCAGATTTGCTCTGATGCTCCTTCCTTTGTGTAATAGCATACCATTGTGGGGAATTTTCCAAATCAATGAGCAAGACTGCTTCATGGCAAAATTTTATTTTCATATGATTTTTGTGTCACCATGATGATGTCCCTTAATTTGTCAAGTTTTTGATTCACTGGATTAACCCAAAAAAACTTTATCATGACTACTGCTATTGTGATCAAATGACATATATCGTGATCGAGGATTTCACCTATAAAGCCCTCCTTATAATGGAAATGGTACATATTAATATGATACAAATTAACAGTATGAATCTATATTAATTATAGTGTGTATGCAGGGAGAATAGTGTTAAATACTGAGACATAATAGGACTGAAATAGGATGAATAGGAAAATACATGCAGGTGAAAATGATGATGCAAAAATCCCAATTTGCCCAGTATTAACTGAGAATATCAGCGAAAAATGCTGAACAAAATGAAGTCAGCACCATACAGACAGGAAGGGCCACAGTGTGACACAAAGTTTTAGTGTCTTAGTGTCTTCAGAATAATCCCTCATAACAGGTTCCTGTAGCAGCTGGTGCCAAAGGCAGGAAGAGCCAACGACAGCCGGCACTTCTCTCATTACTGACTCCACTCACCATCAGAGCTATGCACCACTTTAGGATACATTACACATAAACCATACAAGCTGCCAGATGGACACCTTTTAGTGATTTCTGAAAATAAAATAACCCATAGGGGCAGATTTCAAGCTGTTTTCATCCTAATCATAATTATTTTCAGAATTCAAAATGGTCTTTGCCAGCCCCTGGATATGCACGCCAACTTTACGCCGTTTCTTGACCATAACCTCACTTTGCATACATTTTGGAGGCACATTTAATTTTTAAAACTGGGTGCTGAACTTTAAGAATTCATGAGGCAGTCGAGTTTTAAAACAAATGCAAATGGGTGAACTATTATTGCCTGTACTTACTAATCCTCAGGAGGACACTAACAATAAAAAGAAGTCGTGAATTAGCATGCATCCTGAGTGTGACCTGCTTAAATCCAGCTTATGCGGTTAAATTTAAGCCATTCGTGGGTCTAAATGGGTCAGTGTCCAGTAAAGTGTTCACTCAGGAGGAGCAGAATCTCAAAGTAATGACTAAGAATGGATAAGAACATTTGATACATCACCTATATGGTAGTAAATTAATTCAACTTAAAACATGTTCTTATACTATTGCTGGAAAAGAAAGAAAAGCATTTGTTTATGGTTATGGTTATGGTTATAAGGGAAGCTAAAAAGCCTTTTGGTGAAAGACTCAATTTTCTTGTTCATGTGGCTTTCCAGCTTCTTATTATGCTGCATACTGAGGAGTGGTTTCAACTTCCTTGTGTTCTAGATCCATTTTTCACTTCACCATGCACATTTGCAACATATGGTCAATAATAAACTGAGATACTAATCTCCTGCCAAGAAAAATAAACACAGAACTATATGCAAATCATGTTCTGCATTCATTTAAAAGCAAATAGAGAATGACAGGCAACTGCCCCCAAACCATACAGCATTTGGCAAAATGCTTGCAGCTGAAATATCTGTTGCATCGCTACGCTGGACTGCACAGAATATTAATGGCCCCGGTAGATACTTTATATTGAAACGGGACTTGCACACTCTAGTCTGCACATAGATTAATTGATTTCTAACGTAAAAAGTGAAGAGGGAAAAAAAGCATTAAAATAGTGGTTAAAAAAAAAAGAACAACAACAAAACAAACTTATTCCCAGTACTTAAACACCCCTATTAAAAAAAGGAGTAGGAAGAAGTAACACTGATGTACTCGTACCCCTTTATACCCTAAATGCCGTAATTAACAATAACATAACTACAAAATAATACATATATAATCAAAGAAAATTCATATTCAAATATAGCTATTCACACAAACAATATTTGTACACATACTTCATAATTCAAACAAAACCCAGGTGATTATGAGCACCGTACTTCAATGCTGTACGTTACATCTTCAATATAATTTCTTTGTACACCTTATCTAAAACGGAATATGTTTGCACATTGCTTTAATTCATCATTTATTTGTTCCACAATTTAACGCCACATATCATCATTTCAATATACATTTTTCTATGTGCAAGTAAGACACATTACTGTCAGATCAGAGCTTATAAGTTGTAAATTTCACACTTAATGTTGGACCATCTGATTGCAGAATAAATCATGTGGCATAGATGCCACCGATCATAGTAGACTTTGCATCAGCCGTCTAGTTAGCAGGGTGGTGCACTGAGTCACTGCTTTATTTTTGCAGCCACTATCGTTTAAACAACTAGCTAGCCGCCGCTGTGACACAGCATACAGTCATTTTCAACCCACTAACAAAGGCACGGTTGAAAACTAACCTCGCACATCTCCAGCTGTCAGTGTCATTCATGTGCAAGTAAAGTGATCGGTACAGAGATAGCCATCAATGAATGTGGGCAGGGCACTTAACTAGCAGCGCTAGCTACAACGTCCCAAATGACGCACATAGAGCTAACAGGCTAAATTAACCTAACACAAAAGTGAAGCCGCACACATATTCTGCGGATACCCACAAGTAAGAGATAATTTGTGTATTTATTGTTAATTTATATTTCGCAACGAAGGGGGCATGCATCTCTTCCACGGCGTGAACGTGGTTAGGGAAAGGGGTGGAGAGAGGTAGCGCTCGGTCAACAACACACCACATAGCTTGTTAGCAACCAGCTAACGTAGCTACCGCTGCTGTGTTAAACCTCCAAACTAAACCGTTTTCGCGCGAGCTATCCGTGAAGGCGACGGCGCTGCTGCTGTCCCCAGGTACAAAACATTTGGACTTACTGCGGAGGTTGTTGACAAGCTCTGCGTGGCTGGCTCCTCCAGATTTCCAGGCCATTATTAAACAGACTTTGCGGAGTAAATAGACAGCAGCTGTCAGTGCCGCGCCTGCGCCAACTGTTCTGCCGAGGAAGCTGACAACCTCCAGAGCGGACGGCGGAGCGGCGGGTACGTCACCAGACATCCACCGCGATTTTACTGCCTTTATAACACACGTTTTACAAAATCATTTTGCTAAATAATTAATCTTTCTAGATATAAGCTTCAGCCAAGGTTAATTCCACAAGTAAAAAGACATATTGCTTACTCAGGGAATAATGATTTTTGCCGCAGTAACGCAGACGGTGGCCGCTAAGTGGAGTGCGCGACTTAGTAGCAAACGTGAGAAAAAGTCGGCTGATAGTTTTTTTTTTTATCCTTTATTGCAATAGCAGTACCATGACAAAGTACAAATATGTATACTAGGGGTAAGTTGTAAAAAATAAAATCATATAGGCTATATAGTCAAATCAAGTTTTTTTTATTTTTTTTTTTAAACAACCAGAGTTGACCAAAGTGCTGAAGAAAGTTACACAAAAAAATAGGCCAATAAATTTATGACCATACCTGTCAACCCTCCCGTTTATCCCTGAGGTTAGTTAACATTAATAAATTAGAAACAAATGTAGGCTGTGGCTTTAGTACAAGGATTTAATGAATTATAACGTCAACCTGCGAGGGACTCCAGATGAAAATGAGTCTGTACATTTACATTTTGGACATTGTCCTTAAATTCATTAATGTGCACTGTCCTTTTTAAATAAATAATAAACATAAACCCACAAAAATGAAACAGCTGTAACCAGAATTAAAATAGTGACCTGTTAAACTACACATGAAATTATAATGAATATATATAGTTATAAGTAATATACTAACATTAAATGGCTACTATATAGCCTATACTATGGGATTAACACAAAACTTTTATTTAATGTTGGGGGGGGGTCCATTATTATTTCCCAAATCCCAATGTTGACAGTATGTTTATGACATACAACAAAAAGATAGAAAACAAGACAGATTAAACAGAAGTGTACCTAATCAGACTCCAAAGAATTCCAAAGAATAAAAATGCTTTTTAAGACGAGACTTAAAAGTCTGGCTGGAGGGAGACAATCTGATAATCAAGGGAAATTTATTCCACAGTCTTGGTGCCAACTCTGAAAAGGCACCATCACCCTTCGTTTTCACACGAGACTGTGGGATGGCTAAAGGGATTGGTTGTAGAGGTCTGGAAGAGTGATAAAACGTTAGGAGATCCGAAATATAAAGTGATGCCAGTCCACGTAATGCATATCCATGCAATATGTAGTCAGCAGTTCAGTTTACATATATTAACGGTCTTTAAGGCTGAATAGTTTATATGTTTTGTTTTTATTTGATTAACTTTAAATAAAGGTTTGTGGTTACAAAATCTAATTTTGTGAATGTGAAATTTTGCTAATATAATAAAAAGATTTATGATATAAAACTGTTTTTAACATTATAAAAGCCAAACAAGCACATCTTTGTACAGCAATGTTGGGGTAAAGTCTTTCCAAAAAGTAACAGTACAGGCCAGTTTCAAAATAAGTGTATGGTTGTCTCATGACCATGCCCACAGAAAGTTATTGTCATTTCTTAGTCTTAGCAAGTAATGTTTTGCAGGATAGCACCGATGGAGAAGTTTGAAACGGACATCTCAAGGTTTGTTTGTGATCAAGAATCTTGCAGGACTGGTCCAGAATTTTTCCACTTGACATCTGAAACAAATCTTCCCCAGTAATGGATTACAATGACAATGTCTTTCTGAAAGAGGGACATGATCCTTCTGTTCCGGCTTGAAGGGCTGGATAAAAGACATATTTTAACAACAGACAAGGAGAAAGAAGCGGTTCAGTGTTACCCTTAAATAACATCATCACACCTTTGGGAATAGCATACATTACAACTGCAAAGTCTTTTGTGGTGAGAGTAATTAATTCAAAAACCTTGTGTAATTTGGAATAAAGTTCCAAATGGAATCTTGAGTTACACTCTGTACATTTTCTGATCCAACTGATTTTAAAGGTATAGTTAAGGGTAGTCAAATCTAAAAAGTTAAGGCCACCAGAGTCGATCATGGATCATCATGGATTTTGTGTTTTCAAATAAACTTAATCATAATAATAATAATAATCTTTATTATTGTAGAGCAAAAACATGTTACAAAGTGTAAAGACAATAATACCCAAAAAACAATAATACAGAAACAATACAAGATAAAAGCAAGAAAACACTGAAAAGACTGAAATACACGTTTAAGATAAATATAAAATAAGTAAAATAAAATAAAAGGGACAAAATAAAGTCAAATAAGATCGGGAAAGGCTCTCCTATAAAAGTATGTTTTAAGAAGGTCGGCTGAACATACTTTTATAGGAGAGCCTTTCCCGATCCTGATTTCCTCGGGCAGGCTGTTCCAGAGCCTCGGGGCCCTGACAGCAAACGCTCTGTCCCCTTTGGTTTTCAGTTGAGACTCTGGAACAGACAGCAGACCTCTGCCCGAGGATCTCAAGGTACGTGCTGGTGTGTATGGGACTAAAAGGTCAGAAATATAACAAGGCGAGAGGCCACGAAGAGCTTTAAAAGTGATCAATAAAATTTTAAAGTCAATTCTAAAACATACCAGCCAGTGTAATGAAGCTAAAATGGGGGTAATGTGGTCATATTTCTTTGTTCTGGTTAAAAGCCTGGCAGCTGAGTTCTGGACAGTCTGGAGTTGATCAGTAGATTTTTGGGTTAAACAAGTGAAAAGGCTGTTGCAATAATCCAGGCTTGACGAGATGAAGGCGTGTAAAATGGTCTTGATGTCCTTAAAAGTTAACATAGATCGAATTTTTGCTATATTTCTAAGTTGATAAAAACATGATTGAACAAGCTTTGTGGTGTGCTGCTCGAAATTTAAATTACTTACAGTCGGTAAGTGAACTCAGCATTTCAGGGTCTGTGGATCTGACGGGCAAGTACATTTGTGTGTCATCAGCATAAATATGAAAAGAAATACCATGTTTATACAAGGAAAACAAAATGGGTCCTAAGACCGACCCCTGAGGCACACCATATTTAACTGGACAGAACGAAGAGACATAGTTGTTTACAGACACGCAAAACTTCCTATTTGACAGGTAGGATGAAAACCATTCTAGGGCAGTACCAGAGATCCCCACCCAGTGCCTCAGTCTGTCTAACATGATGTTGTGATCAATGGTGTCAAAAGCAGCGCTAAGGTCCAGGAGTACCAGGACTGAGCACATGCCTTCATCAGCAGACATTAAAAGGTCATTGGTGACTTTAAGCAGGGCAGTCTCAGTGCTGTGGTACTTCCTAAAACCAGACTGAAACTTTTCAAATAATTTGTTATTTTCCAGTACAGTGAGCAGCTGTTTGGACACAATTCTTTCTAGAATCTTTGCAATAAAAGGCAGTTTTGAAATTGGATGGAGGGAGGGATCTAAACCAGGTTTCTTTAAAAGTGGGTTCACGCAAGCCATTTTCAAATAATCAGGGACACAACCAGTAGATAGGGAGCTGTTGAAAACAGAGATCAAATGGGGCCCAACAGAATCCATTACTTTCAGCAAATACTTTGTATTTATTACATCAAGTGGGCTGGAGGACACTCTCATTTGTGATACTGTTTTTAAAAGCTCAGACAAGTCGATGGGATAAAACTGGTTAAAACTCTCTTGTTGCTGGTGGAAGGAGGGGTTGGGTTTACCAGCTGATCCACAGTCTTAAACAGAAACCTGGGATTGTGTTTAAGTGTAGTAATGAGTTTAGAAAAATAGTGTGTTCTCGCATCCTTAACCATGTTATTTTAGTTGATTGATAAATCCTTCAGACTGAGGTAATGGACTTAAATAGCATGATAGTTTGACCTTACTGGGCAGCAGCTCTCAGAGGTTTGTCATCAAGGCAATCGGTCTGACAAGATAAATACTAATTCATATTATGATATTGAGATTAGATTACAAAGGATGGTTATAGAAGTGCAGTTTTGTTGGGTCCCTGCTCATATGGGTGTAAAAGGAAACAAACAAGCCGATGAGTTGGGAAAGAAGCCTCTTAAAATAGATGACAGTAAAGTAATTAAAGTGGCTTATGGTAGAAGAGAGGCCAAATCTTTAGAACAGCCATCAATAACACTTGGCAGAAGGAATGGGAGACAGATAATAAAGGTAGACATTACCAACTCCATCCCCTCCCCTCCTCTCTCCATCACAGAGAGGGAAGTCAACTGTCTTTTCAGGAGGCAGAAACCCCGCAAAGCAGCTGGGCTCTGTCTCCCCATTCACCCTGAAGCACTGTGCTGATCAGCCGTCTCCGATTTTCACAGACATTTTTAACACCTCACTGGAGACATGCCATGTGCCAGCCTGCTTCAAAGCCTCCACCATCATCCCTGTCCCCAAGAAACCAAGGACCACTGGACTAAACGACTACAGACCCGTCACCCTGACCTCTGTGGTTATGAAGTCCTTTGAACGCCTTGTGTTGTTCCACCTAAAATCCATTACAGACCAACTCCTGGACCCCCTGCAGTTCACCTACAGAGCCAACAGGTCTGTAGATGATGCAGTAAACATGGCCCTTCACTACATCCTCCAGCACCTGGACTCCCCAGGAACCTATGCCAGGATCCTGTTTGTGGAATTCAGCTCTGCTTTTAACACCATCATCCCGGCCCTGCTGCAGGACAAGTGCTTCCAGCTAAACGTGTCTGATTTTACCTGCAGGTGGATCACAGACTTCCTGACGGACAGGAAGCAGCACGTGAAGCTGGGAAAACATGTCTCTGATTCCAGGACCATCAGCACCGGTTCCCCTCAAGGCTAAGTTCTTTCCCCCCTTCTCTTCTCCCTGTACACCAACAGCTGCTCCTCCAGTCACCAGTCTGTCAAGCTCCTGAAGTTTGCAGATGACACCACCCTCATCGGGCCAATCTCAGGTGGGAGATCGACCATCTGGTGACCTGGTGCAGCCCCAACAGTCTGGAGCTCAAAGCTCTGAAGACAGTGAAGATGGTCATGGACTTCAGAAAGACCCCAGCCCCACCCTCCCCCATCATCCTGTGTGACTCCCCAGTCACC